TTGAAATTTAGGCTAAGTTATTTTTCTAGTGGAACCAGAATTTGTACTTTTTGGTCCATAGACTTTTGTTGATATGTTGACAGAATGAATAGGAATTATGCTGGTTTCAGTGTGAGAAGGGTTCTTCACCACTGCATGCTGAACTGTTTTTCCTTTATCAACCATTTACAACTGCAGTTGGTAGGATTTTGAGGCACTCTTCGGGCCTCAGAATATGACAGATTTCTCTTATTTTTGTATTTTTTGAATGTGTGAGATACTCTTCTGCCATCCATCCTTTTAGCCTGTACACAGTTCTGGGGATCTCCTGTGTATAGACACTGTCCTCAGTTCTTGTTATTCTGAGGAGCTTCTTGTGGTGTGTCGGCCAGGGGATCATAGGAGGTGATTGTCTGCAACTTCTAAACACTGCGCAAGATTTCTCAACCACAAACCAGAGGGATGTATCTCTCTCACCCGTGCCAGGGCCCACAAAGGAGACATCAGGCAGAAATACAGGCCTTTTCTGCCTTCCTGTATCATCTAATAAGTCTCAGTCCCGTTTTAGGTGTGAACTTAGTATATTTTTCAGTCGCTGACAGTGGTGCAGTATTAGAAAGCTGAACAACAAATGAAAATTGAACTTTTTAGTTCAGCGGTTGTTGAATCTTTGGCTGGGCCAAAATTAGCTTTAGAAGATACTGAAGCTAACACAAGAGTAAGAAAGGGACTCTTTTTCTTATGGAACTCAAATTCTCATAGGAGATCATTTAAAATCACCTTAGTACACTTAATATAAGTCACATCATAAGAGATGTATGTACAATTAAGGACTGGAGAGGATAAAGTTTCATTCTAGGTCCAGATTTAACAGCATTCTATCTTTGCTTCATGCCTAAAGAAAGACACAGAAAAGTGTTGCCTATATTTTTGCCTGGTCAGTTTTACCTCACTGACATGTTTCTGTCATTCTTCACCTTCCCAAAAGGAGTATCCTCCAAGGTTCCATGTTAGAGGGGAGCAGAATTGAAGTTGGGCAACAGAATATGTGGATAAGTAGCAAGTGCAGTACAAGGTATCTGTTCTTGCATTGCACAAGCTTATGGAAGCAGAGACTAATATGTAGGCATTAGGATTTATTTTATTCCTTTCCCCAGTGATTATATTGATAGTGAAATATCTTTGTCTGAGTACTCCAGCAATATAGCCGTAGGCGCCATAAAAATGCATAGATAGATGGCTACCAGTTCAATTAAGAGGTCTCAAACCAGCCTCCTTTATGCAAACCCTGTCTATTTTAGGTTTAAATTTCTGCTCATAAATTTTTTAAAAACCAAAAGAAATATTGCTTTTCAAGGTTAGGTTGAAGTCTAAGGTTTCTTAAACAAAAAAGCAAATACCTAGACGGGAAAAAAAAATTGATAACCCTAATGTACTTCCTCACAATAGCATTTCCAAGTCCATCATTTAAACACAAATTAAATAATATTCCCTTCATTGTAATATAAAAATCTTCTGGTTTTTATCGACCAGGGAACCAGAAAAAGTCACTGCCACATCTAAGATCTAAAATCCAAGATATGGCACCCAATTCTATGTAGTCAGGTTTGCTTGGGGGTAGGTTGTGGGGGGCTCTAATTATTTCAGGTGGTGAGAATCAACTAACCACATGATAATTATCCTAAAAAGTAAGACATAAAGTTATCTTGGCTGCTGACAGGCCTCTACCAAGTATAAAAAAGAGAAGAGTAAATTAATTGTTAACCTTCATGATAGCATTTTAATGCAAATACTTAAAAAGATCTTTTATTTGTATCAATTATGTATGGGTAGAAATTAATTTGTAATTCTGGTCATCTGGTTGGCTCCATACTTAATAACATCAGTGACCTTTTACAATACCAGAGAGAAAGTGTCCATGCGTACTCAGCATAGGATAGCACTGTGACTGGGTAGTTTTGTTCCTCGGTTCAAAAAAGGAACGGCATTAAATGTCCCATGGTAGAAAATAATTATTGAAGTTTTTAGATCATTTAAATTTTCTTGTAGATCTTTGGCTTCGACTATCCCTTATGAAGATGGTGTATTTTAGTATGCAGTCCTCCGTGGATAATAGCATGTCCAGCTTTTGAATAAAACTGGAGAAATTCAATTCCGTTTTCAGTTTGGCTAGATGCCCCCTCCAGTGTTTGTATCTGAGCTTTCACAAGAGCACCGCGGCCCCTTTCAAACCAACTCTGAACATTCCCCTGCCACTCAGTCGTTTGCTGTTTGTTTGCTTCTTTTTCTGTGGCTTGGAATTTTAAACTTTCTTTGAACATACCTAGAGCCATCTTTCGCTGCTATTCATATTTTCTATATTCACGTTATATTCCTATGAAGATCTGGTGGCGAACCAAATAGAAAAGTGAAAAGAACAAAGAAGTCCACTTTCAGATTATTAAAAAAAAATTGGGGGGTGGGGAGTCTCTCATTATCCTTTTTGCCTTAATACTAATAGATAAATATCAGAAAAATCATTGACTGAGTATTTAAATTAATTGAGATAAAAAATGTTTTTCCTTTTGTTCATGAAGTGATTAATTGTGAAAATATTACACCTAGAAGAAGAACATCTGCTAAGCTATCATATAGTCAGATTTGCTCGCATTACTCCAAAGAAAATGTTCTACTTGGCAAAATTTTATGTATCTATTTTGGGACATGGTCCGGAAATTTTTTAATTTTTCCTAAAAAAAATAAGGAAGGATTTTTTAAAATTTTAATTATGGATATTAATGGTTTAAAATTTTCCAGAATAAAAATAATGAACTTATGCCTTTGTCCTAGATTATGTTGAATTACTTCCCAGATAAGCAAGAAGGTAGAATGGCAAGGCTAGCAACATCCCCTTAAGATTCTGATTTTAATTGTAGAGGCCTTAGAAAAACTCGCTGGGCATTGCCTTGGCGGCGTCTTGTAGAATTTACCCTGTGGAGAAACACTACCCTTTTCAGCCTCCCAAACAGATGGCTCTCTGCTTCTTGATTGAATGGGAAGTTAGAAATTTATGGAGTCTTTTCAAACAGGCTATCATATAGTCAGGTTTGCTCGCATTACTCCAAAGAAAATGTTCTACTTGGCAAAATTTTATGTATCTATTTTGGGACATGGTCCGGAAAATTTTTAATTTTTCCTAAAAAAAAATAAAGAAGGATTTTTTAAAAATTTAATTATGGATATTAATGGTTTTTATTTTTATTCTGGAAAATTATAAAAATAATGAACTTATGCCTTTGTCCTAGATTATGTTGAATTACTTCCCAGAATACTTAATTTGTAATTTTTAATGGCAAAATTATAGGATCTTAGAAAAAGAGAAGGTAGTCATGCCATCTTTTGAAATCATTTGCTATAAAAGTAATATTAATTTATGGAGTTAAAATTTCAAATATAGTCTAATATAAATTTGCATTTCCAGTTTTTAGTTCAGAGTTTGTATTTAATTTTGCGATTCATTATGAAGGATTTCTCTAAAGTTTTTTGACCTATAATGCTTTTTGTTTTTGTCTTCACTATGGCAATTGTTACAAGATGATAAAACTATCTATCACTTGGCCAAACTGAAATAAAAGTTCACTTTCACATCTTTTGCTATTTGAACCCTTAAGTCAACACAGAATTTTTGCTATAGTCACCAGGTTAATATCATCAGAAAATTTTAAAATAGACATTTTATTTATAGTACTTTCCTATAATTAAAATCTTCATTTGCTTAAAAGCAGGAGACTTTCTAAAGTAATAAATTAGCATTTCTTGATCCAGGGTCACTAGTAGTGCTACGTCTTTTTGCAATATCTCCAAGAAAGAGAATAGTAGTGCTATAAATCTGTTGAAATAGGAGTAATATTTTCAGTTTAATCACAGTTACATGTCATGATCTTGTGGTCTTGCATTGAACATCTTGCTGAAATGTGGTCAAATTTCAGACAGTCAATTCTAACCCTGCGAAGTCAAGGTAAAGTTCAGATTCAGGCTTTCCATAGATAATAGAGATTTTTCGAAAAAAAATTTTGGGTTGTTTTTATATAATGTTATATACTGTTTCAAGTCTCAGAAAATGCTTTACATCAAAAAATTTTCCCCTTGACATGTTTTGCATCATTTTTTTCCTCCTTGCCCACAAAACTGTATCATAAGCATGCTTATTTCTAATTCTGTGAAGTTCTTTTGATCTAACTTAATTTTAGCTTATTTTAAAATTTAATGTCACTTTATTTTAAATTATCTTATTTAGAAGTCAAATGAAATTGAATTAATTTTTTTTTTAGTTTGAAAATAATTGTGTTTTTTAAATAAAAAATAGGTGGAATTTGATACAGGTATGCAAGAACCTGTTCTTGCTAAGAAGCCCCAAATGCATCAGTACATGAGAAAAAGAATACTTATAAAGTGGGGGAAACATAGCTTTCAGAAAGACGTCGTTGATTTATCCTGTTAGTTCAAGTAAATGCACTAGAATATTAGAACTCTAGTGTTTAATGGTGTTAGTCTGCGAAGTCTGTTGCTATAATACAGAGCTAAATATCAACAGAACTTGTTACTGTTGTTTGGGCTGCTTTTATATACCAGCTTCAAAATATGTTTTGACACTTTATTATGTTCTGAATCAAGCTTCAGATGTGTGTAATGAAGGAAGAAGTCTTTATCAGACTCTAGTGTATAAATAATGGAGAAGAGCAGTTTGGAAATGGTCTCTCTGTAGGAGAATGGTTTCTGAAGAGTTTCAAGTTATGATCTGGCACAAGCCAAAAGCCACTGGAGGTGTAAACACAACCAAGACACCTCTGTAAGAACACAGGCCGCTGCTGCTGCTTTTCCCCCACTTTCTTTTCTCTTTTCTTTTTTTTCGTTCACCATGTCATTTCTGTAAAATTCTCATTCCTAGCTTACATGCTGAACCTTTTGAGAAAGTCTGGCACCTCTGATCCACTTTCCTTCACAGACCCTGTAATTTTTGGCTGTATTTTTATGTTTTTCAGATTCAAGTCAATCTGAAAGTCCCAGCCAGCCAAGTGACGCTGACATTAAGGACCAGCCAGAAAATGGTAAGTTTAGTTTGGGACTCTAGCTGCTGCTTTGAGAGTCCACAGTAGCTAGCAGCTAACCAAGTACAAGGATTTCGGGGTCTGCCTTATGGGTGACCCACAGTAGGAACAATCGAGGACCGAAGGAGCCCTCTGGATCACTCCAGCACCCCCCAAACCCTGACCCCACCCCTAAACACTACTTGGTATTTATGAGAACTTTAGTTCCCAAGAAAGTTTATTACTATGAGAGGTGAGATCGACTTGCCAAATCAGAATCTTTTCCAGTATAAATGAGGAGCCATGATGTTTACATTTCATTTTAGTTCCTTTTAAAGTGGCCAATGCCCCACGATCTTCTTCTTCACTAGTGATTTAAGATCACCGACTGACAAGTATTTTTGAGGCCTTTCAGGAGTTCAGCCCATTACTAATTGCTTTAAGAAAACGATCTCTGTCTTTGAAGTGTTTTCTGATTTAAATTGTCTAAAGTAAAACAGTAAGGGTACATGACAATATTAAATTCCTCAGTTGCATAAATACATAAACTTTCCGTTGCAGCAATTTGATTAAAATAGAATATATCCTTTATATGTGAATATAATAGTAAATTAGGTAAAATACTGAATTTGAGCATGTACTCCAAGTATGGAAAAGGTTGTCATAGGTTGGAATTTTAGATTGAGTAAAACCTTAAGTTTCAATACAAACTGAGATCTGAACTAGCAGTACATATTATATGCTAAACATTGTATTGTGTACTTTCACAGATATTATTTCATAAAGTTCTAAAGTGTTCTTCCTTGGTGATAGAACTGAAGGCTCTAATGGGAATGCTTGAAGGCCTGGGAGGGGAATTTGGCATCATGGTTAAAAGCTCAGGCTGTGATGTCAGACCTGCATTAGAATTCTGCCTCTATTGTTTCTTACCTTTATAATATTGAATAGGTATTTAACCTTTCAGGGTATAGATTTATTCCTCATCTTTAAAATAGTATGGTATTAATATTACCTATCTGTTGAAGAATTAAATAAGATCATATGTACATATTTATATAGTTTATACTCAACAATTGTTGGCTGTTGTTCAATATTACTCTTATCATTTTTCTAGTCAGTATAATCGTACCATGTTTGTTTTTCGCCTACTTAGAATTATCTCATTCCTCGAGTCTCTCTTCTTTTTATTGTTTTATATATTTTCCCATTTTGATCTCCATCCGATCTTTTGGAATAGATAGATAAACTGAATTATGTCAGCATTGTGAGACTGAAGATTGAGTTTACCTTAATTAGATATCCTATCACTAGTATTTCAGGAGTTTTCATTTTCCAATGGGAAAATCTTTATAACACTGTTTGGTTCTTGCTAAATATGGTCTAGTGACTATTCTTCTTCTCATTTTGGTATTTTGGTGGTATTTACTTTATCAAAGTTGTCTTTTCAAAGCAGGCATAAAAAAAAGAGAGAGAGAAAGACCTCTGCAGACTTGTTTTTAGTGTCATAAACAGCTACATCTTATTTTTTGTTGACATTTTAAAGAGTGATATTTATAGATTAGTTTCATACTTTATTTCTCATGTGACTTATAGGCGATGCCCTAAATGATTTTGTTCATATATTATATTTATATATAATCTGCCTGAAGTTTTGTCAGGGATATTTATTTTATTTTCATTTTTAAAAATTTGTGAGCTTGTAGGGGTATGTAGTTCACGTATTTGGGTCTGGCCACCCCTCTAGCAGGCCTGTGATTCATCTGTCTTCATAAAATGGCCGACAAGCTGTTCACATGCAAATATAAATTGAGAGTATGAGAGGCCTGGCATGCCTTTCTGGAGCTGCCTGTAATACTGATATTATGCGTTTCCCATTCCAAAAAGCCACCAGGATTGAGCCTGGATTTTTCGGCCAAAGGCACAGAGATACTATCCAAGTTCCCTTTTAACCCCAATTTACTTAGTTCTACGTCAAGGATTCACAGTACCATTTTGGAGGGATCATGTGAGTTCAAAGAAAGTATTAATAATCTAGGAAAGAAGATTATAGATTCTTATGTTTCAAATTTCTATTTATTTCAAAGAAAAAGTAGAAGCTGCTTTGTCTTAGTTCCAGCTGAAGCTGAGATGAGGGGAACATCAGCCTAATCAGTTTCCTCTATGTGCCTTCTGTCAATCTCAGCTGAAGTTATTGGAAGAAAATGATTTTATCTCTTCCCTAAAGACCTCTAGGAAAAATACCTATAGGAAAATAATTGAAGATTTCAGGACTAGGTATTTATATGCGTTAGATAACATCCTAGTGTTGCTTTGATGGAGTGTTCTTTCTTTTTCACTACCCCAGGTTATGAAAACTAAGTTCCTGAAAGGTGTTTGCTTGTTTGTTTCATTTTTGTGTTTAAAGAGGGACCTCTCATAAATGTGTCAATAAAAGTCTAAGAATTTTTGGAATCTTGGTAGATGAAGAAGTGACAGACTCTGGTCTTCAAATAAAGTGGGAACTCATTACTCCTTCTTTATGTATGTATACGAGGGGAAATAATATTCTTTTTATCCTAGCTCTTGAAGAGAAAGGTAATGGGAAACGAATGGTATTTTCCTAGTAAACCATGGAGAATGAATAGACAAATGGTAACATGCTGTTTCATCCAAAACCATAAACTAGGCCATGTAACTTTACCTAAAGTGGATGCAGCTGTTTCTTCCCTGTCCAACTAGTCTGGTTTTTTTTCTGTGGAATTTTTACTTTCTTTTTTTTGTACTCCCTTAAGACTCAACTATAAAAGAAAACAAATCTTTGTCCAATTAGAGTATTAGATGGGAATTTTGAAGGTATTATCCAAAGGCCAAAGATAAAATATCAGAATCTCCCAAACTCAAAATTGGTATAATAAATAATTAAAACTCTACTTCTAGAGTTAAACAGACCTTAGTTCAAATGAAATAATACCTGGGTGACTTTGAATAAGCTATTACCCCAATCTCAGGTGTTTGTTTGTTTGTTTGTTTTTTAATCAATAAAATAGGAATACTAAAAGAACCTGCCTCATGAGTATGAAAATGAGAGTATGCATATGAAACAACATAATGTCTCGTTTGTAGTTAGGACTCGAAGAAAGGTAACCATTACTACTCTCCAATTAAAGCTTGTCATATCTGTAATGAGTATATACATTTGAGAGATAGAAAGCTGGGAGCCTGAGAGTGGTAGAGGAATAGTGTCAGAAATAAACCAAGACTTTTAGAGACGTGTTTTGTAGATACCTACTCTGTTCTGAAATGTCAGCCATAAATCTGTCCATAATCCCCACAGTGCCATATTTATTTTTCCGTTTAGTTCTATTCACCTCCCAGGAGCTGAGCACTACAAAAGCAATTCGAGTTTATAGAACCTTCACAATAGGTGCTCAAGAAGAAGGTGATTCTGGACAGAAGGGACTCCTAGATGTCTTCAGTTTTAGATGAGGTTTTCCTTGGCTCAAACTAAATAGAATTTGGCTTATTAAAATCTATAAACTGATTAAGGGTAGGATTCATGACAAATTCCTTTAAAAAACATCTTGCATAGCACGTAGCTCTGTATCTTGAACTTCATAGGAAACTTACTTAATGAATAAAATTAATTAGTAGATGAATATGTTGTCATTATCCCCAAATATTTTTTGAGTATCTTCTCACTGTTGATTTTCTAAGAGGTTTTTAAGAAAACAAAAAACAAAAAACTGAGAATCTAATTTGAGTGTGGGGGAAAGCTGTATGTAGACAAATGAACCTGCATACACAGATATGATTAATAGTTTTAGGAAGCCAAGGCACTAGGTACTAATGGACATAGAGATCAAGTTGTTCCTCTGCTCCCACCTCACCCCAATGAGCAGGTGTGATCAAATGCAGTTAAACCTTGAACAACACAGGTTTGAATTGCAGGAGTCCACTTATTCATGTTTTTTTTTTTTTTTTTCCAATAAATACCTGTACCATTTTCCATCAGCAGTAAGGCATCCGCAGATGTGGAGCCGACTGTATGCATTGTTCTATGCCATTTCATATAGGGGACTTGAGCATCCTCAGATTTTGGTACTCACAGGGATCCTGAAGCTAATCCTTTTCAGATACCGAGGGACACCTAAGTTTTCAGGGAATCAAAAGTTTATATATGGATTTTTAACTGTGTGGAGGTTGGCACTCCTAATCCCCGAGTTGTTCAAGGGTCACTTGTATATGAAATACCATCATATTAGCTTATGCTTCATTACTATAGGGAATACAATCCTGACAAAGTTCTCAACTCTGACTGGTATCATTTATTTAATCCTTTTGCATACTACTGAAACCCCCTTTCTGGCTTTTCAAGAGCTCCTGGAGATTTTAAGCCTTATTTGTTGGATTTCAATTTTGACTCAGACCACCTTGGTAAATTCCCATGATGTACTTTGGCTACTGTTAGAAGTATTTATGGGACAGAACATTTGAAGTTCAGTATTTACAGGGCCTGTGAACAGTCCTCAAGAGGTTGCATTCTGTGGTACATCAGCTCAGTCATTAATGAAAGAAAAGCTCATACGATAGCCCCCCTACTTAATTCAAGGCACGCTTCCTTAGGGCCACATTGAGTCAATGTCTGAGGGAATAACATATTCTAACATTGACACTCTGAAAGCATACTTCCCCTGGGACTCACTGTGAAAGCACTCTAAACAAAAAAAAATAGAAATAAAAAAGAAAGAAAATGTGGGGTTCCCTTGCCAGAGGGAAAAATGCTGCGTTCACATATTTGTTTGTTTTTTTATTTACTGTCTCTCATTACCGGCATAGCCTGCTAATAATTATAACCTCATCTAAGTAGTTTTTAAAATATGATATTTCTAACAAAAATCAAAGTTAGTTTTTATGTTATTTCCGTTAGGTTTAATCATGTTTGTTCTTCCTCATTTATCTGATAGTTGCACATATGTTGGTGGCATGAACCCTCAAATGGGCCTTTGTAATCAGTGGAAGGCCATTAATCATGATGCTTGCCC